TATGTATACATTACAAATTCAATACAATTCATGTGAAATGATCAATTCACATTCTTGCTTTTTTAACAACAACAAATCAACAGAGCGAGTTCTTATTATATCTCACCAAAACTTATATTAAAATAATTTACTGCCTTCTTCTATATGTCCTAAAGAGTGATGTCTGGCTTATGTCGGTTCTGGTTAAGGATGCTGAAGAATGTGTATGTGCGTAATAACATTTTTGTTGCTTTACATCAGTCACAGACTGAGATATGTGAAGGACAGCTGGCACAGGTACTGTCCTTCAAAGCTGCTCTTAAACAAAGAGAAGAGGAAGATAACACACAGACACAAAGCACTGGAATCTGCATTACTTCTGTTCTATTGGGTTATCCTTGGTCTCATTCCTGCATAATATCAATTGTTAACTTGGATTTTCAGTGCATGTGACCAGGCTTGTATGTAACGTTAGCTACAGGCAGCTCCCAGAGATGATGAAGTGATTTACTCCACAGTCTCACCAGGAAATCTCTATCACTATTTACTCTTGCAACCAACTTTTCAATCAGATCTTAGTCAGGTTAGATGCCATATTGAATCTCTCATGGATGAAAGTGAGGCTGCGAGGGACAGACTGCAGTCTTTACAGCAGAGCATGGTCCGTAAAGGTCCCTCAGCCTCGTTTTCATTCCTCTTAAAAATTAAATAGTGTTTCCTATATCGTAGAACCAGCATCATATCAACATATTGTCTCTGCTTTTCTAGACTGACTCATCATTGAACTCATCACTGGACTGAAATAATAATGAAATAAAGAGAAATTAGCATGTTTATTTTTTTTAACGTATGTTTCTAATGAGTAGCTACATAAGAATATCTGGGGACTGAGTGTGTGCATTTTATAATGTAGAACAAAATGTCATGCTTTGTTTTACTCATAAATTGAAAGACCCCATTATAAAACTTTTTACTTATTAAATCATTTTGTAATATATATACTTAATTTTAGAGTTATACATAGATTTACAGGCCTATCTGAATCCTATCTGGATGTTTTTTGTATGTGCCTTAAAAACACTATAGGATTAATAACTTGATAATACAATATTCTAATAGTGGTGTCTGGTAAATATTGCATGTTAAAATGTTAATAAAATACTATCTATATCTGTATATGTATTTCAACTTTGCTGTTTCAGAACACTTTCTATCATGTAAACGTACCGTTTACATGGGTGCTTTTGCACTGGTGTTTTTAAAAGTCATCTTCCTGTTTAGTCGACTGCATTTCATTTTTAGATCAGTCTGCCCGATCGCTTCATGAACACACCGTAAGTGGGTTAACTGTAGTGAGATGCCACGGCCAAAAAAGGAAGTGAACATATAGTTCTTAAAGAAAATGCCACCACAGACGGCAATAGAGCGACGAGTAGAGAGGCTAGTCGAGTGCTGGGCCTTTGAGATGAAACCAAGTTAATACAGTCTGGAAAATACTACCAAGACCTCATTACAGGCTCCCTCGAGAGTCAGCTGAGGTGAAGGACCACTTGTGTACATTTGAAAGATTTTGAGTTAGTTATGAAAGAGGAAAACTTGATGATAAGAGTTCAGATGAATGGTGTGTGAAGCCTCTGTTAAAGAGCAGCTGTAGATCAGTTTCTGGCTGAACGGACCTGATGCTGGAGTGAAAGTAGCACGAGGAACAGAGACAGGACATGAAACTGCTTTTGTGCTAGAGTTTCTGGCTATACATCACACTGCATTTTTTATCACTGGTACATGTATATAAAAAGAGATTTCCCCCTGAAGTGTTGTGGCTAAATATTTCAACCTCACAGAAAGCCAGTGTCAGCTATATATCTGTTTGATCTATAAACAGCATGGTGCGCTCTTCAGGTCTGCAGGAGGCCTCAACATGTTTCCATTCTCACAGACGCAGCTTTATCAGCAGCATCTTCACTAGTGCGGGTTTAGCGCGCGATACAGCAGGAAGGAGACAGCAACACATGCAAATCACATCAAATACAAGAATATAGTCTTGCACTATTATATTTTTACATAACATTCAGCATTAAAATATTAACTATAATAACGTGCACTGTGGAGATGATGTAAAGTGCATGATATGATTGCATATTAAATGCAGTGGCACAAATGCTGTGCATGTGAAAGTGGTGAAATACATACAGTCATACTAAGATCAGCTCATTCTCACTCTGCCACAATGATGAAGGAGACTCTGCTGCTGATGTTCCTCCTCACACACGCTGCAGGTACGAAAAACACTCAACTCTGCTGTTTTCTCTGACTGTATATTGTGTATATACTGTATTAACATTTTTTTCAGCAACTTTGCATAGGACTAGCAGTGTTAATGTTTAATGGTCTAGTGTCTCATTTATCTACTATCAGCTGAAACCGAACAGGTGCATCTTAAATAAGATGTCAAGAATTAGATATTTGATCTAATGAGGCATGTGGCTCTATTTTGGTTATTTTGTCACTGGATGATTCATTAGCATATATATTCTGTGCAATGGTGTGTGCAGCCCGATAGACCATAGACGTATTTCTTTGAAAGCATTTCAGCAGTATGGTCGGTTTCTGTCAGTTGTTAAAAATGGCATGATGCCAGTGATTCATTCATGATTTATCCATTCTTTTAAGTCGGTTCTGTTCAGTGATTTGGCCAGTTGGGTTCACAAAATGAACGGTGAATCAGCTAGAGCGGATTCTCAGTTAGTGAAACAGTATCTGGAGGTTTTAACAAAGAACAAGCAGCACAGGATCTACAATTAATTTGACGAATGCTTGAAGGATTTTTAAGGACTTTTAGTCATGCAATGCTTCGGCACAGATACCATTCTTCAGTAGTATTCTTCATGCAGTAGTATAACATGGATGGCAGTATGCTTATGCAAATGATCTCATATGAGCTTATGCATATAATGAAATAAGGTGTTGTAAGTCTATTTATATGTGGTTATTTTGTTGCTATGCATGTGTGTTCAGCAGGCTGGTATTTTTGCACAGGTTCTGGTGCATGTAAGGTTTATAGATTTTGTGATATTTGCCTTTTGTCCATATGCACACTTTTAGATTGACGTGTTATACGTGAAGCTGTGGTCAGGTCAGGTTTGAGATTAAATTCTGCAGGTCCCCTTGATAATGAAGAAATTAATTTCAAAATGAAATGTTTATTGATGCTTATGTTGTGTGTAAATTCTTTCTTGATGATTCATTTCTCTTTAAAGTGTAAACACTGTCTCTGTAAGTCAAAAGATTGCTCCGTTTTTTCCCATTCATTTCAGTTCAATTCAATTCAGTTTGTTTATTAGGAGTAGCCCCTTGAGATGTACCATCTCGTTTTCAAGGGGCTCCCAACATACAGTGTAAGATAATCACAACAAAATATCAACATACAACAACATAAATGCAAATATCAATGCATAAACAAACAAACGCATTAATACACAACACACATTAGCAAAAGTACACCACCAATTTGACGAAATGGCCAATAAATACCCAACAAAACACAATTATCAGTGAATAAAGCTGTATATAAACATCAAATAGAAACAAATAAAATAGAATGATGTAAAATGTATCTAATATCTACAAGTAAATTATTCCTATCTATTGAGTTTTAAACATAAAAGCCTTTTTGCCAATTGTTTTTTTTTTCAGTTTTGGGTTGGGGGAATGCCTAACTGGGTAATTTACAGAGAAAGGTACTAAATATTGTTTTAGGTAACTGGAGTAACTAAAATGAATGCATTTAAATATAAATTGAAGCTGATGACTATGTCTTCTTATTTGCAAAGATGGCAATTATAATGCATCATACATTATAAAGTGATGAGTTAAAAAGAACATCCCCCAAAAAAAATCTATAAAGTCGAGCAAGATCATATTTTGAAGCAGTTTGATAAACAACATCAAAATAATTTAAGACAGAAATTTAGTTGTGAAGCCAGTTTCTTACCAACACTTTATGAAAAACAATTTTGAGATCAATGTAAAATACTAATAAGTTAACTTTACGCAAAACATGATTAATATGTGGTTTAAAGGAAAGTTCAGAATCAAGTCATACACCGATATATTTAATAGTGTCAACTTTGTGCAAAGGACCATCTTCACATGATACAGCACACAAACCAGCTTTGGATTTAAGTTTCTGTCGTAAACCAAAACTCATACTATAGGACTAGTTTATTATCCAAAAGCCAATCTTGCAAAATATTTAAATCACTGAAGAGATAAGTGAAAAGATTTAGATACATATACGTGACCCTGCAGCACAAAAGCAGTGTTAAGTCGCTGGGGGATATTTGTAGCAATAGCCAACAATACATTGTATGGGTCACAATTATACATTTCTCTTTTATGCCAAAAATCATTAGGATATTAAGTAAAGATCATGTTCCATGAAGATATTTTGTAAATCTCCTACCGTAAATATATCAAAACTTAATGTTTGATTAGTAATATGCATTGCTAAGAACTTCATTTGAACAACTTTAAAGATGATTTTCTCAATATTTACATTTTTTTGCACCCTCAGATTCCAGATTTTCAGATATTGTCCGATCCTAACAAACCATACATCAGCTTATTTATTCAGTGTTCAGATGATGTATAAATCTCAATTTTGAAAAATTCACATATGTCAGTGTCATCAGTTGGACATGACTATTTTTATTTACATAAATAGAAAAAAAAGCAGTAGTCCCAATATTGATCCTTGGGGCACACCTCTTTGTTGGATCAAAACAAAAAAAAAAAAGGTTTGTTCCCATTTAAGACAGCACTTTGTTTTCAATTATGCAAGTATGAATTTAATTTTTTCTTTCACAGGAACTCAAGACATCCATACAGTCAGTAAAATATCTGTTCAAAAACAGCAAACGATCACAATCCCGTGTTTATATGATCAAAAATATGTCAAATACCCAAAATACATGAGTTCTGGAAGTGTTTGGATCTTCAGTCATTACGTATCACACAGCAGAATGTCTGTTGTGGATAATCGAACAGAAAATGTGTTCACGGCGACACTGAGAGAAGCTGAAGTGAGTGACTCCGGCACGTACTGGTGTTCTGTTACCTTACCTGGATACGATGCTGGCACACATCTTTACCTGCAGGTTACAGAAGGTATCATTGATTCTGTGCAGATTTATAAACCCATCCAGCTGCTACCTTCTTATATTGCACATTGTGTAAATGACTTTGTCTCTGACCTTTCCTCTCAAATGTCTAGCTGAAGCAGGGCTCCGTGTCTCCAGTCAGACTGTGTCAGGTTATGAGGGTGGTAACGTCACCATCCGCTGTCGCGGCGCTTCACACTGGTGTAGGATCAGGGGATCTTGTGTTGGGAGAGATGGAGGATCTCTAGAGAGAACTGCAGTGCTGTGTGATGATGGTGATGCTCTGAGAGTGACGCTGTGGCAGCTGCAGACAGAGGACAGTGGATGGTACTACTGCTCTGATGGGGATTCACAGATGCCTGTTCATGTTACTGTGATGAAGGCCCTAGATATTACACAGTTTACAACTAACCCCTCTGAGAGCACGCCACCACTCAGTGCAGACAGGTAAGCGATGGTGCTCATTTAATCAAAGCACTCGTTAGCAGCGGATCGTTCATTGGCTCTTATTGTGAGACTTGTTTCCAGGCGGTTGCTGTGGCTGCTCATTCTGGGAGTGATGCTGCCCATTACAGTCTGCGGAGCTGTGATGCTGATCAAAGCAAGGAACAAGAGAAGTGAGTGATTTCATGATTTCATTAGTAAGACAAAGCAATGAAACATTTGTACAGAATTACATGAGTGTGTGTGTGTCCGCAGAACAAAGAGCTGAAAGCTCAAATCTTCATAATCACATGAACAAACAGCAACTGCTCAAAGTAGGTGAAGCACAGCTCTCACAGTCACCATACTGTCAGCTTTTGATCACAATCCATCACTACTATGTATTAGTTTTAATATTATTTTCATAGGAAACTGGGAAAAACAGTGAGGTTACATGTGAAAATCTCTATGAATTCATGACTGCAAATAAAGCAGACACTCAGGTACTTTTTATCACATCTTCATAAACTTGCACTATAAACAGTTGTTGTTTTTATTAATTTATATATGCGTTTCTTTATAGGGAAATGGAAAAAACAATGAGGTTGCATGTGAAGATCTCTATGAAAGCATGACTGGAAATAAACAAAACACTCAGGTCATTTTGACCACATTCCCAGCTTTAACACACTTGCACTATAAACTGTTGTCATTATTATTACATTTATTCATATACTCATTTTATTTCTTCAGGGAAATGGGAAATACGATGAGGTTGCATGTGAAGATCTCTATGAAATTATGAACGGAATTAAGCAAAAAACTCAGGTACTTTTAGTTACTCATTCATTTTTATAGGGATTTTATATCTCTCTTACAATGCATTAACATGGGTTCATGTCAGTCTAATTGTATTTTTGTCTTGTTTTGTCTGTGTTCTTGTGTTAGTTGACTGCAACAGATAATAAAAACATATATGCATCTATGGTCAGAAAAGTGAAAAAATGATCAGATAGACAGGTTTAGGGTTTTTATCATGTTTGTTTGTCCTTTATGTTAAAGAGAGGGATCCAGGGTTTTTTTTTATCATCAAATGTGTGTAACTCAAGTAAATGAATAGCGTTAGTTTTATTCAGTCTGTCAACTCTTTGATTGAAGTAATGTGAACAGATAATAAAAACATATATGCATCTATGGTCAGAAAAGTGAAAAAATGATCAGATAGACAGGTTTAGGGTTTTTATCATGTTTGTTTGTCCTTTATGTTAAAGAGAGGGATCCAGGGTTTTTTTATCATCAAATGTGTGTAACTCAAGTAAATGAATAGCGTTAGTTTTATTCAGTCTGTCAACTCTTTGATTGAAGTAATGTGATTTTTTTTAACCCTTATATTATGTACTGGGTCAGTGTGACCTGAATGGATTTTTCTTCTTTCTCTGAGTTGTGGGGAATGCTGGTTATCCTCAGATGAGGTGTGTGAGGTGTGTGGGAAAGTTTCTTCATGGAACCATCGATGCATAAAAAGCTTAGTTTTTTTTAAAGTGTAGTGTTGCTAGAGCCATGCTGTTTAGTTTGAGCTTCGGGAAAGCACATTAAAAAAACTGTAAGAAATCAAAAAAACTGTAAGAAACATAATAAAAAATACTGTTTATAATAGTTACATTTTGTGACAACAAAAGTTGTTCAATATAATTAAAAAAAATACTTTTTTGTAATATTTAAGTATATGAGTATATATGGTATAAGTATATGACACACTAAAATACAAAACAGATAGCATGCATACAGACATGAGCAAATAGTGGCAGAAGTTATATTTTTAGCTCAAGCGTTTCTTTGACATGTAACCCAGTCTTTCTGTCTGGCCTGTTCATTTCTCCGTCTCCGTCTGTGCTCCAGCTCAAGTGCCAGAGATCTGAGGGTGTTTTCATGAAGTGGAAAACTGTGGGTGGAAACATCGTGCTTATTTCTTGTTTTTCATGATTACTGGAAAGTCTTTGTAGAGAAGAAGCCATCGGTCGGTTAGTCTCGGTCAGTGTTAATGCTGTTGTTTCGGAGGGAATCTGTCACATTGGTTTCACCTGACTTTGAAAAACTGTTATAAATAAATGAGCAGTTTTGTCACACCATCTACAAATACTCTTGCAAAATCGTGGTAGTGTGTGCTGGAGGGTGAGTCAGGCCGGAGCGGCAGAAAAACAGGAACTAGAGATGAGAAAAGAGCAGATTTCACATGCGTTCCCATCGAACATCTTCACAATGACACAGCCATGGATCTGAACTGTCTTCTCTTCATCTGCAGCTTCATCAGACTCTCAGGTGACAGCAACTACACAAGCATCCGTGCCGTTTACTTACAGATACACATGCTTTATTGTCCTGTGAAATATGAATCGTTTTCTTATATGAATAACCTTAAGATTTTCGTGTTTATGCAAAGATGCAAGACTACTAAATTTATAAAGTCAACAATATTATGATGTTGGAATAACGAGTAAACAGAAGGGTCCAAAAGTCTGAGACTATATTGAAAATCTGGGATTTAAAATAAAAATATACATATATATAATTTTTTTTTTTACATAAAAAATATTTTTTATTTTATTTATTTTTCACATGTTTTATTAAAGATAAAACATTTGACACTCTTTTTGGATCAAATTGTTATTTTAATATACGTATATATTCATATTTTGGAAATTTGTTCATATTTATTTTATTTTTTTTAATAAATATGTGTGTGAAAGTAAAAAAATATATATAAAATGGCACAAAAAGCCACATATTTTTGGATTAATTCATGTATTCATTATTTTAATATATTTCTTTTGTGAAGGTGCTCAGGACATCACTACGGTCAGGCAGATATCTGTTCGGAGAGGACAGTCTGTCATAATTCCTTGTTTATATGATCAGAAATATGCCTTTTCATGCAAATACTTGAGCGCTGGATACTATTGGCTTTTGAGTGATTATGTGGAGTTCCCTGACCAGAGATTTCATCACAAAACTGTATTTATCTCAGATGAAGCGTCACGTCACAGCTTCACCGTCCGCATGGATAACGTCCAGGAGTCTGGCTATTACTGGTGTGCTATTCATATTCCTTCAGCTTTTGATAAACGGGCGAGGTTTTTCTTAAACGTCACAGCAGGTGAGATTTTAACTGAGATTTATCTGAACCTCTCTGACGCCAAGCTGAATCTGTACAAACTCACAAAAACGAGTATAAATGACAGAAACGTTCTTATTGTTGTTAAAGGAATAGTTCAGCCAAAAATGAGCATGTGCTCACATTCAGATCATCTCAGATCAGGATGAGTTTGTTTCTTCATCAGGTTTGGAGAAATGTAGCACTGCATCAGTGTCTCAGCAATGGATGCTCTGCAGTGAATGGGTGCCGTCAGAATGAGTCCAAACAGCTGATAAAAACATCACAATAATCCACAGCACTCCAGTCCATCAGTGAACATCTGGAGAAGACAAAAGCTGAAACTAATGCAGCATTAAAACATTTTTAACTAAAATACATTGAGTCCATAATCCATAATAACGCTTCCTCCAGTGAGTCAGTGTTCTGGTGTGAATCAGGAGAGAAATCTGCACAGATCAAGCAGTGTTTAAACGGCTCTGAACACATATGAGGCTGGATTCTGATGCGAGAGACAACAGCAGATGCACTTTTTCACCGGAGGAAGCGTTATTGTACTCTCATTCTGACGGCACCCATTCACTGCAGAGCATCCATTGCTGAGACACTGATGCAGTGCTACATTTCTCCAAACCTGATGAAGACACAAACTCATCCTGATCTCGGATGAACTGAATCTGAAACATTTTCAGCACATTCTCATTTGAACTATTCCTTTAAACACACTGAGAAAGAAGTGTCAAACTGATGTTTTCTATACAATTTCCAGAGTCTCCAGGACTTCTCGTGAACTCTCAGAATGTGACGGGATCTGAGAATGGCAGCGTAACCATCAGCTGCTACCACCAGGGAGGACAATATGGTGTAAAATGGTGTAAGTTTGGAGGTCAGTGCATTACAGGAGCATCTGGGAGGTTAGACGGAGCCTCGGTTGAGATCAGATATGGTCTGAGAAACACGACTGTGAGCATGAGCCGACTGAAGAAGGAGCACACGGGATGGTACTGGTGCTCGACAGAAGAGCTGCAGATGCCTGTTCATATCACTGTCCATCAGAAGAAGAGCAGAGAGAGTCCGGATACAGCAGAGTCTGATCAGATCTCAGCCAGCGCTCGCAGAAGGTGACGATCCTTTAATATAACAACTCATTGACTCACACTCATGCTGGTCCAAACTCACACAGCTGTGTTTCTTCAGAGAAAACTTGTTCTACCTTCTCACCTAAAATTCTTACTTAAAGTCCCGCTGATTTCAAGTTAATATTTCAGTAATTTAATGACACGTTCACATGTTCACACTTCTCTATGTCAGGTAATAGTCGCTTTACTCTATAAAATGCTGGCTTGTTTCAACCCAACTTTGGGTCAAATATGGACTAACCCAATTGTTGGGCTAAAAAAAAGTAATAATTGGGTTAGTCCATATTTGACCCAAAGTTGGGTTGAAACAAGCCAGCATTTTATAGAGTGTTGGTTTGCAGGCAAATGAAATAAAATATGAATCCTTTTTTATTGTGAATTTTATTTGGTTGTTTTTACATTTTATGTTTATTTATCTTTAGCTTTTCATCAACTCACAAACACCAGTTTGTTAAAAATGAGTCAATGGAACACAAAAGCAGATATTGTTATTTTTGATAGTGTTGATAATGTCCAGAAGGCTCTTTCCATATAAATAAACTACAGTGGCCAGATGGTGTCAAAATAAAAGTCTTTTGTGCTCCTATATTGGCTTTAGTGTGCATTATTATTATTATTTACTTAAGTTACTTTTTGGATACTATTTTGGAAAAGCTTGAACATTTGTCAAAATATCTGATTTTGTGTTCTTCAGAAGAAATAACGTCATGCAGGTTTGGAGCGATGTGAGAGAGAGTAAATGATGACAGAATGATCTTTTTTGTGTGTGAACTCTCTCTTTAAACCATTTACTTCCATTTGAATTGGAGAATATGTAGCTTTTTCCTGCTTTGCAAAACTATTAATTTGGACGTAGTGCTGTGTTTGAAGTATTTACACAATTATTCAGAAGTTAAACTCTTTTGATATTCTGCTGCATTTTAGGACGGCTATCTTATTTCTGTTGCCTGTGATTTTGGAGATTCTCCTAATGATAATCATTTACTTGGCACTGAAACTGCTGAAGTTTTGCAAAAAAAGTAAGTAGTTTACTAGCATCTTTAGTTGTGTGATCATATAGTTGTGCTAAACGAAGCCTGTGTTGTAGGATTCCTGCAGTCTGAGGATGAAGCAGAGGAGGCTCAGTATGTGACGATGCACAGAAAGCAGTCGTCGCGTGTGAGTTTAGCACTCAGTGATTCTGCTCAGGGCTGTAATAGTTCAGGGGGAAACCAGACTGAACACATTCAAAGAAAACTCTCTGTTTCTGTTTTCTGTCAGTCATATGGCTGTGCTGCTGCTGAAGGAGTGTATGAAAATATGGCTGGACTCAAAACAAACAGTGAGGTGTGGATATCGAGCATTTCCCTTTATACTTCACCTTTTATACCACAGTAAAACACTGCTGAAGAACACTGTGTGTGTCAAAAGGGTCTGGCTGCAGCTGGCGCTTGCACTCTCAGACGTGTGCTGTGCAAGTCTGAGAGTGTGCAAGTCTGAGAGTGCAAGCCTGAGAGTGCAAGCCTGAGAGTGCAAGTGTCTGAGAGTGCAAGCCTGAGAGTGCAAGTCTGAGAGTGCAAGTCTGAGAGTGCAAGTCTGAGAGTGCATGCCTGAGAGTGCATGCCTGAGAGTGCAAGCCTCTGAGAGTGCAAGCCTGAGAGTGCATCTGAGAGTGCAAGTCTGAGAGTGCAAGTCTGAGAGTGCAAGTCTGAGAGTGCAAGTCTGAGAGTGCAAGTCTGAGAGTGCA